CTCTGTCTCTCATGAATAAATAAATAAAATCTTAAAAAAAAATGTGTGACACTTAATAGATTTTTAAAATGAGTTGAAGTGGGAGATTTTCCTTTTAAAATTAGAACTAAACATTGAAATTATTTTAATTAAAAATGAGATTGGAATTAAAATTATAAATTTGTCAATGGAACACAATATAATCTAAAACAGATCAAAAGTATTTATGAGAGATTAGTTTGTGAGAAATGTAGCAATCATTTTGGGTTGAAAATAGTAGGTTATTTAATCAATAATGCTTAATAAATTGACTCTCCATACTAAAGACACTAACATTAGATACTTAACATACTCTGCAAGAATAATTTCCAGTTTTAACCATTCAAAATATAAAATCTAAGAAATCACAGACTGTAATTTTCAATGGAAAATTAGAAGAAAATTCAGAACATAATTTCCAATTTTACTTATACAAAACATAAAACTAAGAAGTAAATTACCTAGTATACAAAATAAATGACAGAAAATTAGAAGAACATACAGGAAATACCAAAATACCCAAAAGAAAAAAGAAAAAAAAAGAAAAAGAAAACCTTTGAAACAAGATAGAAAACCCCAAAATCATAAAGAAAAAGAATTGATAAACTTTACTACCTAAGTCTTAGGTTGTATTGGTTTCCTCTAGATACTCTGGACTTCCCAAATAAGCCTAGAATCCCTACAGAAGTCCTGGACTTAGACATTCTGGAGCTTGAACATTATTGAATACACTGGAACTCAAATTAGATTAAACCTGTATTCCCTTCTAGAATTATGTAATAAGCAGACTCTTGGCAACATAGGATCAACACTTAAATGACACCCTGTTTCTCTCTTATATAGAAATTCTCAAGCCCCCTCTGAGGAAGATTTACAACATAGTAGAGGTTTTTACTTAAATTCATTTTATTACAAAACATTCTCTAAAAGGGCCTGTTGAAAAATGAAACCCATGTTTATTTGCAAAGCTTGTGAATTCCTATGTGATTAGTCACTGGAATTAATGAAGTACAACTGTGTTCATTTTGCAAGCATCATAACAATCATAGCAACGGATTTCAGACTAGTTCTTAGAGTGCGTACCACGAGATTCCAGCAGAGAAAAGGAGTAATGTTGAACTCCAGTCACCCTATCACCTGTTTTTTTTCCCCAAGAAATTCAGTTTTCACTGTGTTTACATACCAAAGATGTAATAAGATTTTTTTTTTTTTTGGTAGAACATGAACTTTTATTTATCATTTAAATAAGATTTTGTTTTTAAGGTGTTATGCGAACCTCAGTTTGAAAATGAGTGCCCTTGGTCTCTAGAAAAATTCACAACATTCTGACAAAGGAATTCAGACTCCTTTAAAAGTAATTTGTGAGACACAATGACTAACTAAATAGAGACTTAACAGGAACTTAAGCACCAGGTATCTCACTCTTTATAAAATACTTAACATGGTGTCAGGCATGTGGTGGGCACTCATGAATTATTTTTTATTTCAATGATGGAATGAATGAAAAATTGAAGAGAAAAATGTTTTAGGGGAAAAATGCAAGCTGTGACCTGAATATATAAGCAATTTTAATATCTTAGCACTTTGGGCTGAGGTGAGTTTTCTTCATCTGCAAATCACATTGTTTCTGTTTTTACCACTTTCTGCATACTTGCACTTTCCTTTATGGTCTCTTCCTTCAAATTATATCAAACAAATTTCTAGATCAGTTGTTGCTCTGTGTTCCTAAGATTACACACTAAGACAACCTTCCCATAATGATCACTTGCTTTTAACTCTAAATAAATATATAAATACATATACAGCATGAAAGAATAAAAGGGGAGAAAAGAGAGGCAGAGAAAAAGGGAAAAGGAGAGAGGGGTGAGGGGAGGGGAAGGGAGAGAAGCAGAATACTATTTCATTATCTTTTTTCCAGCAAATTTATCTTAGCCTTTCATTGACAAAACATCTCAGCCCAAAATCCTTACTACCTTACACATGGTGGCTTTTCCTTTAACACAGCCATGATGTAAATAAAAGCTATGTGTTTTCAGAGATTAATTTGGAACCTGTAAAATTTAACATTTCAGTTTAAAATTATATTCATATAAGAATGAACATGATGAGGAGTTGCCAGTTACATCATTAAATATTAATTCATTTTACTGAAATGAATCTGAGTCTGGATTCTTCTCTTTTCTTTCTTTTTTTTTTTTTTTTCCTTTTCTTTTTTCCCCTCTTGGAACTGTTAATGAAACACAGATCCAAACACTTTGGGCAACATACAGCTGGCTTCATCACTCCTCACCAGAGAGTGGAGAAACTCTTTTGAACTGTAATAATTTAGCTATACGTTAATTTAAGAAATAAGAAAGGAAAACATCCATACTTGGGCTATTCTTGACACATACACCATTATGTCCTTACTTACTATTCAACATATTTTTTTCACCTTTTTAACACACAGGGCCCTCCTAAAAGGCAATGTCACTCTATATAAGACATCATAGAAAATCTACAAGTATAGTGCACATGGAAACTAGCAGAGAGTCTGGCACACATGAATCACTCATCAAACATTGGTTGAATAAATAAACTGTAGAAATCGACTTCATGTCCACACCAAAATACTACCTATACTCTTTTGAAATGTACCTGCCCAAAGTCTTTTATTCTCAACAAAAACAAAATTAAAGACAACACGGCTGCTTACTCCCCAAATTACCATTTGATTTACCTGGCCAACCAATCTCACCTTGTTGATTAGAATTAGGTGTTGACTAAGAGTACTTCTTACTGCCCTGAAAGGAAAATTGTCAGCAGGATTTGTAAAGATCTTCTCAGACACTCTGCTTTTAATCCTCATGTACACAAATGAATAATTGAACACCCCCATCATTACTGTGCTTTGCTTCTGTTTCAGTTTTCGAATTTAGATCAGTAACACTCATCTTGGGGGTTGCTAATTTGCTTTTAGCACTAGCAGATAAGCTTAGCTTAGTGCAATATTTAAATAATTGATGGATAATTAGAAAATAAAAACCAGAAACACTATATGCTAATTATAATTTAATTCACATTCACACTTATGAATTTGGAGACATGTCAGCAAGGTAATTAAAAGAGCAGTTCTTATTTCTCTTTTGGCATAGATTTTCATAATGAAAATCATACAATGAGTATATAGTCATTGAAACGTTAGAAGTAAAATGAGGTTTCTTTTAGAATGGCATAATTTAAATAATTTTTTATTGAATGAATCACTAAACTCTGGCACCTGTACTAAAACACAGTTCAAAAACAATTGGAGTTAATGTTGGCCACATGAGTCTTAAAATTAAGACACAGTAACTCGGACATTTCTTATATTACATGTACTCAACATCCTCGCTATTGAGTTTTGCTATTTCAGCAATTCAAATGAACAAATATTTATCAGACACAATTATAAGTGAGGTACATGTTGACTGCTATAGCACTAAAGATAGACAAGGAAGGATGCAGATCCTGGTCTAATGGAACATACAACCTTGCAAGATGGGGAGGGATAAGATAAATAATTACATAAAAATGTTGAATTCCTAACTGAAAAAAAATCCATAAATTAAAACTATAACACACCGTGAGATGCTGTTTATACATACTTGTCTACCCTCCTAAATCCTTTGGGTTTTGGCATTGAGTAAAAAATTGTTTTTGTCTAATAAAAAATGCCTTGATCACAGGAAGATGGCTACTCTTTTCTGTTATTATTAACCAGCCTGTTTGCATCTGGAATGCTGAGATACTGAGAAACTGAGTTCCTTAGGAAATTTTATAATAGAATTATAGAGGTTTGAAAAATGTACTGTTGTGAAAGTATGGGATTTTTTTCTTTACATTTAAAATTTTTTACTTTATTTTTCTATTTTCATTTGAACATTTTTTTTTTTCACTTATCCAAATGGGAAGGGCTGAACCGGATCTTTATGAAATAATTTGTGTTTTTCTTAATATTTGTATTGTGTTTTCCAAGACAAAGAAGACTGTCTCCCAGGTTGATATTTTGATTCAGCTTTAAAAATGACTTTTAATATGTTTTAAAAATTATCATTATTGTTGTTTTTTTTAATCCCATAGAAATGTATTATGGAATGTAATTTACCTATCAGAAAGTAATTAGATAAAACATCTTTTTTATTGACATGTAAAATTCTATTAGTTTTAGGTACACTACATAATAATTTGATGTACGGATACATTGTGAAATGATTGCCACATTATAAAATATCTCTGATCCTCTGATAAGTCATTTATTGAGTTAAGAACATCCATTGAAAAAAAAAAGAACATCCACTGATCACTTACTAGACTTTAATATTTCAACTTTTATTAACAGTTGGCTGTGATTATCCTGGGAAGAATCCCTATAAAGTTGTCTTACACTTTTCTAAGTAGTGAGGGCTGTTACATACAACTGTGCCTCTTACAAACAGTACAGTATCAGGAGGCAGCCTATTCCACTGGCAATATTAGATTGAGGAGTCCATTATAGGATATTTAAGCTCTGCCTTTTTCTGATTACTATTTACATTGCTTTGTATTTCCCTCAACCCAACACTCCTTGACCATTTATTGGTTTTTTCCTACTCCCTGCCTCCTCATTCTTTCTGCCTATGTGTGTCATGTGTTTTATTGTCTATATCAGATTTTCCAGAATCCTGATTTTTATCAATCCTCCTCTAAACTTCCTCTATAACTGCCTTTTCCACACTTTTCCTGTCTGACATATTTATTTTGATTTTTTTTGTATGTTTGTTAGGGGCAAAAATACATATAAATTTAGAATAATAACTCACATTTTCTTGTCCTCAATCAAATACTTGATATTTACCATGTAGGCTGGGAACATCAACTTTTTATATAAGTATATAGCACATTTTCAATTTTATTTCTTTGTATATCAAGGGCAAATCAACAGTGATGGGAAGTCGGAGAGAGCTGGAGGAGGCAGAACTTACCTGAGGTCTTGGGAAGGTTCTGCTCTGATGTGAGGTGTTTCAACAGAGTGCCCAAATACTGCTCCTTCAGTGCCTGGACAGAACAGGAATCCAGTAGTCAGTAAAAGCAAGTGGACAGATACATTAGTTTTCATTTCTATCTTTATACATCAAATACACCAAAATGGCACAGCTGTAAACAGGAGTACAGACAATGAAAGAGAAAAATTAGAAAAAATGTTAAGGTAGTGAAAAGCCAAGAAGGGTAAATCTAAATGTCCCTCTGAGACCACTTCTGAGATGACCCTATTTAGCAAAATTCAGATTCACTGAGGATTTTCACTCTCTGATCAAGAGCAAAGACCATATCCTCCTTTCTTGTTTCCCAGGTACAAGAATTTGAAGGAGGGATAGGTCATAATACTTGGTTCTATCTTTCTACAAATGGCAGTGCATGAGTGAAAATGTGGTGTGAGCTCTCTTGTAATGTATCATTAATTCTTTAAAGACATAGGGGGCATTTGGCAATTTTTTTATACATAACACCCACCTTTGATTAGAGAGATTATCCATGGCACCTTACTTTGACTTCACTGGAACTAAGGCTCTCTCGAAAGCCACGAATTGCTCAAAATAAATTCATTACAGTTGACTTCATGTGGGGTCATACTTACCCAAAGAGGTCACGTACTCTAACACAATTATCAGACATAATTATAAGTGAGCTACATGTTAGCTCTAAGAGAGCTAACACTCTCTAGGCAGCTGAATTATATTCTATCTACACTTTCATTTACTGACTCTATGTGATTTTCCAGATTCCCAGAGCCTTTCCATAATTTGAGCTAAATAGAATGACTTTGCTTTTAAAAACAATGCAAAAAAAATTTTTAAAGATGATGACAAAATCTTTCTTTTCTTTTGTAATTCCATATAAATGTTTTAGATCATTCCCTTTGGAATAACTTTATTTTCTTTTGGCTTAATCTTGGTCAAACATTTTGGTTTAGGGATGTCATGTCTGCTCCATCAATGGCCTCTACACCAGCTTATTAATACAAATTATACAAAATAATGCAAATAATACAAACAATGCAAATAAAAATATAAATTTTAAACCTATAAGATAAAGTTGCTGATGCTTATTATGAAGAATAATGGGAAATATATTGATTCAATAAGCAATGAAGACATTTTCACTAACACTTAAATTCCTGAAAAATATGTTGTTTTTATAAGAAAATAAATACTAAAATCACGAGATGATTCCTCCACATCAAACAGCAATGCAGACCTTGATCTTGAATCAGAGAGGAAGAGATTTTTTTCAAGGACTGTAACATGGTTTCATCTATCTTCTGGTTCTAAGGGTAAATTTATAAGGTTCTGCAGCAGTAAATTCTTAAGATTACAGACTTCAGTTTATAAGCTAAAAGCCATTGGGATTTGTTGACCTCTCACTGGGTTATAGTAGTTGTTGATGTTTTGTTTTGTTTTGTTTTCTACAGAGACTCTGTAGGGCCTATAATATATAGACAGACAATTGGTGCAATTAATTCTTTATGGAGTTTGCTCTTTTGATATTTTGTAAGATATTTTATTTCTGTGAGTGGAAAATTCTTAGAGATAGTTCTTTGAAAATAAAGTAACGGTTTTAGATAAAGCCCTCATTTTGTGATTGAGGTGGGGGTGGCATTTGAGACAACATTCCAAGGTATAAATTTTCATATCTCAAGGAGAGACTCCTTTAGCATTTTAAAAGAAGATACAACTTATAGAAAGAATAGTTACCCATGTGCAAAGTTTAAAATTTAATTTCACTATTCTGTGACTTTGAAAACTTCCCAGACAAGAAGACAAAAATATAATTAAAGAGTAGTTGCAGAATTTATTTTAAAACATGGAATGGCACACATAGTACCTTTGCACAGAATATATCAGTGAAAGTAAAAGGGGGATGCTATCAAAGTTTTAATTTTCCAATAAGGATTAAAAACTGATAGAGGTCTTAAATCTAAGTATCAGTTTAGAGGATGTTTGATGACTTAAAAAAAACAAAAAACTCTTGAAGAAATAATGTGTAATCATATCTCCTAAGGGGCTAACTTGAAAACTGAATAAAATAACATAAATAATTAACTAACTATAAACCTCCAGATAATAAGAAAATGACTCTCATCCTCTCCATTATTGTCCTAAAAGGAGCCAAAGGGGTAACAATTAATAAGCAATAATGATAATCTTAAAAGGAAATCAGTGAGGGAAAATAAAAGCTATTTGAAGCAGGCACATACTCTCAAAGTATAAAAAATCAAAATTAAAATATATATTTCCTTCGAATTAGGAACTTTAACAAAAAGCGTTCAGATGAGTTGTAAGATTTAGCAATTAAAAACAGGACAGCAAATTATCTTCGAATTTCAGGTAAACATGAAAAAATTTTTCAATGTAAGTATGCAATATTTTCAGAGGACATACTTATAGTAAAAATGGTATGGTGTTTATCTGAAATTCAAAAATGAATCACCATTTCACATCTTAAGCTATAAAACCACAGGCACTGAAAAGGAAGAGGGATAGAAAAAGGACAAGAAGTGACATAACATACATATATATATATATATATATATATATATATATATTTAAATCTACTGATTAAATAAACATTTCTTATTTATTGTTGTCTTATGGGGTCATTCATAAGGATACAACATTCAATTCTGTTTGTATAGGTGCTGAAGGGTGTTTCAGATAATTTGAGGTGACGACATTCTTTTAAAGACTAAGAAAACAGACTGTTGACCATTGCAAAGTTCAGGAAAGATGAGACAAGCAAACTTTAGGGTCAAAAAAGACTAGATGTCATTCATATGATAATATCTGGCAGCAAAACACAATAAGAAGGATGGCATACTCTGTTGTGCTAGAGAGGAGAAAAAAGAGTATATATGGACTGTGATCCTACTCTACATTTAAAGACAGTTTAAGATGTAAGTTTAAGATGTATGTATATACTATGCACTTTGAAGTTAGCAAATATTAGGAGACAACCCTAGATATAAATAAAGATAGAAATGCCAATCTTACAGGTTGGGTCAGGTCTTTCTTAAATAGGATATAAATGTGCCTGGTTCAATGTAAGAATTCAGTGGTCCTTAATTCCCTCTCTCTGAAACTTTTCCTTATGAAAATCACCACAGAAGAGGTACACATTTTGTTTGCAGAATTAAGGTCTCAACACAGTTTCACTCATTAACACGTGAAATCTCTATTCCCAAAATGTCAGCTTCAAGTAAATGGTCTCATGCTGAATTCTGAAATCTGAAATTTAGACACTGTTAAGAGATTCTTAAATGCTGGAAAGCAAGTGCATTTTATTAATCAAGACTCTATTCGGTAATCAAGGAATTCCCTAATGTAGGTGCACAGGAACCAAAGAAGATGAAATGATGCCCAAATAAGCTCTGAGAAAGAAGTTTCTTCCAAATAAAAAATAATGTCCAGCATGATCTTGCTTCTAATTGAACATTATCCTGATTTTTAAAATTTTTTTTCAGTGTTCCAAGATTCATTGTTTATGTACCACACCGAGTGCTCCATGCAATACGTGCCCTCCTTAGTACCCACCACCAGACTCACCCAACGCCCCACCCTCCTCCCCTCCAAAACCCTCAGTTTGTTTCTCAGTGTTCACAGTCTCTCATGGTTTGTCTCCCCCTCTGATGTTTAAAAAATTGTGGAAACATTAAAATAAAAATGCATAGTAGAGGGGCGCCTGGGTGGCTCAGTGGGTTAAAGCCTCTGCCATTCGGCTTGGGTCACGATCCCGGGGTCCTGGGATGGAGCCCCACATCGGGCTCTCTGCTCAGTGGGGAGTCGGCTTCCTCCTCTCTATCTGCCTGCCTCTCTGCCTACTTGTGATTTCTGTCTGTCAAATAAATAAATAAAATTAAAAAAAAAATGCATAGTAGACCCTGTACTAACTACAATGGATGGTTATGATTTTTCTGTGTTTTATACTTATTAGCTCTCTATACAGGATATCCTGGGAATTCATCACCATCATCCAAGTGGAGTAGGTGAAACAGTCATTAACTCCAACAGGGTTTTAGCTTCCTTTTAAAGTTGAAGGAAAAGTTAAGCAAAGAGTAGTATAGGACACCATTCCTTAGAATATTTCTCTTCTTTTTTTTTTTTTTTTAAGACTTTATTTTCGCGGTAGAGAGAAACAGAGACAGAGAGAGAGAGCACAAGGAGGGGAAGTGGGGGAGAGGGAGAAGCAGACCCCCCACTGAGCATGGAGCCTGACCTGGGGCTCCATCCAGGGACCCTGAGATCATGACCTGAGCAGAAACCAAGAGTCAGACACTTAACCAACTGAGGCACCCCGGTGCTCCAGAATATTTCTCTTCTTAATGAGAAGCCTCAGTCATTGAGTTTATAAGAATTCCAAACTAGCAATTAGTTCAAAGAACTTAGGGGGCAGGAATCAGAGTCATGACAGCAGCACTACCTCCAATATCCAGTCCACGGGACTGTTAGGAGACTTAAATCTTCAAAAAATTTAATAAACTTGACAGCACTTCAAATTCCTCCACTAGAATATGGCTCAAGTCCTGGGTGAATTCATCTAGGTCTCAGAGGCAAACATACTTCTTTTTATTTATTATCTTCAAGTTTGATCCTGTGCTATCGAACGTATACAACTTCTTTACTTAATTACATTGAAAGACTCTTTACAAATTACAAAATCTTCTTTTTTTTTTTTTAAGTTGTATTTGAGATTAGGGCTTTTTTTCACTCTGTAGTGCCATTTTCCAGCCCTTTACATAGTGTAAGATAGGCGTTCGTTAATATGTCTCTCTGCAGTTGTAGGAAGTGACATGAAGAACAGCAGCACATGCAGGCCCAGGAGAGACTCGGCTTCCCCGGGGTCTCCATATCAGCAGGTCCAGGGGTCTTCGGAGAGATGCCTAAGGCCTGGAATGCAATGTCTGCTGCTCTGGAGAGTCAGAAGAAGAAAGAGAAAAGCCAGACGGAAAGAGAACAAAGGAATCAGGAAAGGGTGGGACCCTCACACCATGGGAAGGAGGC